GGGGCTTCTGTGGCCCTCCATGCCCAATGAGCTACGTGGCTTCAGACAAGGCCCCAGCCTTGCTGGGCTCAGCTTTTTGTTCCACATGGAGGGTGAGCTGAAAAAACCATGAAAAGCTGCGGGCGAGGCTGTGATTCCCGCTGGCTCAGCAGTGGGGATGGAGAGCCAAAGCCACCCCTGGTGACACATCTGCCTGAGGGGGCAGGTGACTGCCTTTTACTCCCACCTCCTGCCCCATAAAGAGCCCATCTGAGAAAAGGAGCAGGCAGGCACCAGGTTGAGGAGTGGTCTGTGGCTGTGCACGCCCTTGCTCGGATCTCGAATCTCCTATTCTCAAGGAAGTTTTGACAATGTGACACTAGTTTCTGCTTTTCTTGGCATTGGGTGGAAGCTGGACATCTGTGTATACGTGTGTATTAAAATTACATTATTTATAGTGGCTGGAACCAGCTCTTATGCTGTCCAGGATCCTCCTGCTGAGCAGGTGTCTCTCCTGCGCTCTGGTGGGGTATGGGAAGTGTGTCACGAGATGACTCAGCAGGGTATGGATTCCTGGCCATTTTAGAGTTCAATGTGACTTTTTAAATTACCCATCTGTCCCTACAAGTTTCATTAGGTGGAGAAAATGCTAACACCTGATGTTACTGGCAACAGCTGAGGAAGTGTAGGCACCACGAGATCGTGGCTTGTTACTGGGAATTGTCACCCCCCGCCAGGGACTTCTCCCCCTCTTGCTGGGGATGACTGTCAGACTTCCCACGGTCAGGATGGTATCTCCCTAGTGACTAGGTGACCATCCCTGAGACTTGAGAAAGGTGGACTTGGCTGTCTTCACCCTCTGGGTCCGTCGTCCCAAGTGACGCTTGCCTGGGAGCAAACTGCCAGGACACATCCACACAGTCCCTCAGCAAGCCCCGCCTCCCCCTGCCCTGCCCTGCCCAGGAAGGAGCCTGTGTCCTCTCTGTCTGTGACTGTTGCCGAGTCTCCTCTGTCTTGTCGTGTAGTAGAATTGTGGAGAACTGTCTAGTGCCCCATGATCACTGTAACCACACTCCTGGCGTAAACCTCGTGTTTTGGATGCTGTGTTTTCAATAAATGCCTCCGGGGCCCTGCTCTTGCCCGTTGGCGTCAGGTACCACGTCTTTTCTTTTTTCTTTCACATTTCTCCAGGAGGACTTCTGTGCCAGGGCTGGGGGTTGGGTTGGGTGAGCTTTGTCTGGGGGGCATGCGTGTCCACAGGGATCTGGGTGGGGAGTTGGGTTTGGGAGCTGGTGACGATGACACCAGACAGCTCTGGAGCCCACCGCTCCTCACTTGCCTTGCTTCATCTCTTTTTTCCTGTCTCAATAAACTGCTTAAATGTAGTCCTCCTAGTACAGGCCTCCTTCCACTCTTGACTCGGACTGGGATTGGGTTGGGAAAGACCAGCCTCTCCCCTCGGTGTCAGATGATTACAGTGTGACATGCCCAGCCCTTCCCCGGGATCACTGTCCCAAGGTGGATGTACAGACTTGGATTCTGGACTCTTAGACCCTGAGATGTAGTTTGAGGGTGCCGGGCAGTTGGGGGACATCTCTCACC